AAGTTTTGATCTGGGACAAACCGTGCCATCCACTATTTTTATTTATTTATTTATTTATTTTATTTATATCCCGCCTATCTGGTCGTGTGAGGACCACTCTAGGCGGCTAACAACATGAGATAACTTCTCAGTCTTGACTTCAGCCTGTTTTAGTATTTTGCCCTTGCTCATGTTAAGTGGCTGACACACTGGTGTTTCTCTGCAGGAGTTTGCATATATAACAACCATGGGGTAGAATCAGTGGAGCATATTCCTCTGTTTGTCAAAGATTAAGCTGAGGTTCGTCCGTCAGAGATTGTTCTTCCACTAGCTTCTCTACCAGGCCAATTTGCCCAGATCTATTTCACCTTTCTGCTGTCAGTCACAAATCTGACAGTACTGCCAGCTGTGGTTAAATTTCTATCAGTAACAATACAAGTTAAAAGGCAAGTAGTTGACACTAGTAGAAGGTTTCTGGTGGTGGGGAACATTCAGTGTTCACATTCCTGTATCCCTGCACTACAGTTCTTGTAGATATGTATGATTGTTTGCATTTGATCTGGTCTGTTGACTGGACTTAATTAAACTTTGCTTTGTAAGAGCAGTTTCTCTCATTTAAACCAGTGGTTCTTAACGTGGGCGATAATGCCCCCCAGGGGGCGATTTCATTTTTCAGGGGGGCGGTAGAATGAAAAGGGGCGGTGTGGGGGCGAAAGAACAGAAGGGGGCGGTTAGGTAGGTAGGTAGGTAGGTAGGTAGGTAGGTAGGTAGGTAGGTAGGTAGGTAGGTAGGTAGGTAGGTAGGTAGGTAGGTAGGTAGGTAGGTAGGTAGGTAGGTAGGTAGGTAGGTAGGTAGGTAGGTAGGTAGGTAGGTAGGTAGGTAGGTAGGTAGGTAGGTAGGTAGGTAGGTAGGTAGGTAGGTAGGTAGGTAGGTAGCGGGTGGGGAGGGAGACTAGGTAGGTAGGTAGGTAGGTAGGTAGGTAGGTAGGTAGGTAGGTAGGTAGGTAGGTAGGTAGGTAGGTAAGATATCATCACCTCAGGGAGGGGGGCGATGATAACTTCCTCAATGGCTCAAGGGGGCGTTTCTTTCAAAAAGGTTAAGAACCACTGATTTAAACCATAAAAAGCTGTCAGAAAAATACTACATCACACAATGCAAAATGAACATGTGTTGTATTAGTTAAATGGTATAGTAATGGCCACTATGTTAATCGGTATTAGATGTCTTTTGAGAATGAGAAAGGTTTGAAGAACATAAGTCTATCAGCATCTGTTAGCTAAATATTTCAAAAACAGAAATTTCATCATAAAGAGACAATATGCATCTGATAATCTAATGCTGCCAGCAAGGGATAGGAATGGCTGTATTGATTAGAAAGAGGTTTGGAAAGCTAAATAGTTGATACTCTGTACATGCATTTCCATACAAATCGGTCTGCACTTTACACAAAGGAATACTATGCAAAGGAGCTTCAAATCATGCAGCAATTCAGAATTCTAATTTTAATGTACACAATTCCCATTCATTCATTCATTCATTCATTCATTCATTCATTCATTCATTCATTCATTCATTCATTCATTCATTCATCTGCAGCATTTGTATCCCCCCTTTTCAGCCGGACTCTCTCAATGCATCACATACAGTGAATGAAAACAAGACAGTTCCTGCTTGCAGTCTTACAAGCTGGACGGACATGACACAAAAGGGAATGGGGATGAGGTAGAAATAGAATAATGGAAGGCAAAATTGAATGCTGTGTAAATTACGGTAGTGTGCTGATCCCTGTCTTATATATATTATATATATAATAGAGTAAGTGTGTTGGAAAACTGGCTGGGTAGCTCAGGGAGTTCGGTATCTGGCTGCGGATCCAGAAGTTGGGAGTCCGTTTCCCCACTATCCATGCCAGAAGGGCCAACCTGTTTGGCCCTGGGCAAGTTCCACAATCAGGATGCCCCCCAGAAGAAAACAATGGTAAACCACTTCTGAGTGCTCTCTCCCTGGAAAACCCTGAAATGAGTCTCTTATAAGTCAGAATTGACTTGATGGCAGACAAAAGAAAGAAGCGTCTTGGGTTCTGATCTTTATTGGGACTGTCATGTATGGGTAGGGGAGATTTAATCCCATCAGTTTTATTTACAATTTTAGGATGAAGAGGTTTACTTCTCCCTCACCTGTGTGTGATTGTCTCAATCCAGATTGGGGCTGTGCATATTTACTTTGGCGTAAAACAGTCAAGGATCTTTAATGACATGCTACATTAATTTATGTCTTAGTTCTTATAATGACCATCTGGAAGCAATTCACAGAATGGAGGAACTTGATGGAGCTGCTGTTTCAGAAATGGTCCTTCCTCCCATCTTTGTGATACATTTATTGTTCTGCAGTCTGTTCAAGTAATAATAATTTATGATAATAAGCAAAATGGTTAGGCCTGGAAGATGCGAACCTGCTTTAATAACCTAGTACCGGAGATACAGAGAATTCGGAGTATCCTAAAAATCCATATAATGTATCCAGTCTTCCACTAGATCTGAACTCACTAGCCACTTGTCTGATTTAAACCACTCTATCTACCAATTCCATAAACCAGTAAGGTTTCACTTAAATGTACATGTCACTACAGATAAGGCAGGAATGTGGGTTGAGGTCCATTTAAAGCCGAGCACATCATTAATGGAATAAAATGAATCTCCTATCTGAATTATGTTTTTGTTAGTTAACTGGATCACCAGTCTTCTTTGCCTAGTCCTTTTCTTACCCACCTCCCCTATCGTTCTTGGTGACATTGTCCACTTCTCACCCATTTTGTATTTCTCCACCACTCCATCACACTCTCAGCCCATCCTCCTTCTGCTTCCAAATAGGAATTCTGCCTTAGCTTGGGAATCAAGGTAGCAAAATTATATTTGCAGAAGCTAACATCTTTTAACTACTCAGGTATAATAGCGCAGTACTGTTAACCAAAAAAAGTGGGTTTCCAGGACTGTGTGTCAATTTCTGTCAAGAGTACTGCTGTCACAATATAAAAAGAGGCCTGTCCTTCTGATTTCAAAAATGGAAATCAGATATTGTCTCTGTTTTACAAAATGCACTGCTTGGTGTAATCTGATACCCACAACCAATGACTCACTCATTTGTTTTTCAGTCTTCCAGCTATGGAGATTTTAAAGTCTAAACTGCAAAACTCATGGATTCACAACCTGTAGCCTGCCTTTTGGATTTCCCTGTTTCTCCTCTCTTCCTCCTCCTCCTCTGCTTTTTGCATCACCTAACCTGATGAAGAGCTTGGGAAAATTTAAGAACTTGCACAATTTTTCTGAAAAAAGAACGAAAGAAAGAAAGAAAGCCATGTGATCCTTACACAATGTAAAATGCAGGAGTCGGGGATACCTTTATTGGACCACTGAAAAATCAAACAATCAGCAAGCTTTCATGGGTCAAGTCACTTATAAGTTTTTATAATGGGACTCTCATTTAATATTTTTTTCTGCACTGTCCGCACCATGTTGATGCATGGCCTGAAGAAGTGGACTTGACCCATTAAAGCGTGCTGACTGTTTGATTTTTTTGGTGGTCTAATAAAGATATCACCTTCTCCTTTATTTGCACACTTTGGTAGTACTTTGATTATTCCTATTAGATACTATGTAGTTGTTTTCTATTAGTATTAGATATTGGTTTCTT